GAACATATATATAGGCCATATTTAAAGCCCATTTTGATATTTAAAAGAATAATCCATTCTCGGAACATATCTTTATACTTTTGTTCTTTTATTAAGAGGCTTTTCTAATCGGAAATTTCATTGGCGAGGATACGAATGTAGACACTGACAACCGAGATTCTTTTATGTATATTCATACTTTTGTGTATCAATATACAAATGATTTGCTCATGTATGTATGGACAATAAGGTCGTATTGAGGCTTGAGGAGGTCATTAGTTTTAAATGTACTACCTGTACTTTAATTTTAACGCTCACTAGTCTAGAATGCCAGGCCTCGGTCCCTCTTTTGTTCACAACCTCAACCTTACAACAAATAAACTAAACTCACCACCACAACCTCGCCAAAGCTCATAACAATATATCATATCAATTAATCCACCACAGTCACAATCAAAATGGACGACGACGATGATTTCGGTGCAGATGCAGACTTTCTTGCAGCTCTCGCACAAGCTCCCGTTTTAGTCCCAGCTGCAACCCACGTTCAACGACCTACCCCGCAACGCGTTCAACAACCCACTCCACAGCGTCTCGATCGCGCACCACCGACAAATAATGCCTCCGTAGGTCCCAAAGTTGTTCAACCAATTCCACAAGCTATTGCATCGCGCTCTACTGGCTCAACAATTCTAGTCTCACTGCGGCAGAAAGGCAACCCAATACTGACAAACCTCAAATCCTTTGCATGGGAATACTCAGACATTCCAGCAGATTATGTTCTTGGATTGACAACATGCGCTCTCTTCCTATCACTTAAATACCATCGATTACATCCGGAATACATATACAATCGAATAAAGGATTTACAGGGTAAATACAATCTAAGAGTACTTCTTACAATGGTTGATATTGGGAATCATGAAGAGAGTCTGAAGGAATTAGCCAAGACGAGTTTGGTGAACAATGTTACTGTCATATTATGCTGGTCCGCAACAGAGGCTGCAAGATACCTTGAGTATTACAAGAGTTACGAACATGCAAATGCTAGCGCTATCAAAGGTGTTGAAAGTAAGGGATATACGGAAAAAATGGTAGATTTCATTACAGTCCCGAGGAATATCAATAAAACGGACGCACTCTCATTGGTTGATGCATTTGGAAGCATCAAGGATGCTATCAATGCGAGACCTGAGGAAATTGCTGTTATTAATGGTTGGGGAGAGAGAAAGGTTAAAAGATGGTGCGGGGTTGTCGATGAACCATTCAGAGCACGAAAGGCAGCTCGTAGAGGCTTGAGTAGGAAGGAAACAACACAAGATGGGGCGGAGCAATCGGAAGGAATTCTAGATCGTGCCATACCTCTTAGTCGTGTTCCGTTGAGGGAAATGAGTTCTCTAGGAGATAAATCAGTTGAATCATCACCACGGAGACAAATTCCACCAAAAGATAGACAGGATGAGTGGGTACCCGGTGATGACGACGAAGAAGCTCAAGTCGCAGCCGCTCAGCAAGAAGAAGAAGATAGATTGGCCCGAGAGAAGAAGAAAGAGGCGAGAAGAGATGAAGAGCTCAGTGGAGGAGTCGCCGCAGCTTTAGCAAAATTACGAGAGAGACCCTGAAATATTTGGATGTTAAGATATCATATTATTATATCGACATCTACCGTGATTTATCTCTGACCTACAGGATGGCATTAGTCTTCCTATATTTGAACGCCAGATTCAACCTCAGAACGTAATTTGCTCCGGACAATTATAGCTGCTGGCTAGCCTGCCCTTCCATCGCAGCGTCAAGTAAAAGTTTCATGAATTTTGAGCAGTTGTTACTTATATGCCATTAGATACACATGCCTAGAGTTTAAGCAATACTAAAAATTTGAACCTTGAAATCACTCAATCCCTCGATGTATGAACAGGTTTTGCGCCAGTTAGCGAGCATGGCGGTTTCACCAGATGTCCGCAGAACCCATCTGTCTAGTCACCACATCCTCCTTGTTATTGGAGCCCCTTTCGTCGACAATCTTCCTTCTCTTAAGCGAGTCATGTGTAGTGCATGATACGGTTTGACTTCTCCAAAACAAATTACCCCCGTTTCGTTACATAGAGGTTCTGGAAAATAAACAATCGAATCAGTCAAGAAAAGGCGGATGCTAGGTTTGGCTCATTCGTCCCATATACGTCCATAAGACTGCAAGGTGGAGGAAAGGTCTTTTACTCGTGGTGTCCCAAAACTTAGAACTGGCATCGCTTCTCTTCGCAGCATGCCTTGCGCCCTTTGCGGCTTATTTACCGAGGTCTTCCTTGTGTTCGACGGCCTTGTCTGGCTTGGGGCTCGGGTCTTGGGGCTCGGGTCTCTTTACTTTTGTGTCCTTTTCGCCTATATGTTTCTTCTCTGTAGTAGTCTCCTCTAGGCTTGGTATATCCCAGTCGTAATTCAGAGAAGAACTTCCTGTATTATTTCAGTCGATATCAGCGGGTACGGTGTCGCAGAAATCCCCATCTCTTCAGTCCTGAGAGTGAGGAGAATCAAGAACAAATCCATCCAGGTAGTTGTTTTCGACATCTAATCGAGTTTTGATGATGACATCTTTCTGAATAGGGTCTTCATACCACCAATATTGCCGGCCGGCATTTTCTCATTCGGTACTGGCTGGCGGTACCCAATGCTCATCAACAAAACCGTCCAAGTCAATTTAACCAGCAATAGAAATGTTTTGACAATCAGGACCAGGTTCTATTGTTTGATGAAGACTCTCATCCATAATTTGTCTTCTACAAGACTCTCGCCGAACGCGCTCGCCATGGTGTATACTTTGAACCAGAGCTCCCAATTAAACAGACTCTGCTGTTGCGTCCATATATCCTCTCCCCAATTACATTTTTGAGCCCATGGTTCAAGTCACCTTTCATCAACATCTGCAAATTCTATGGCCAGGGTTTCTATCACTTCCACTGGCCGTTCGTCATAGAGTGGAGAGAGCCATGCCTTCCGCATAGCGAAATCTTCATATCGAGGATTATCATCTCTTGTCACGTAGCAAAACAATTGGGATGCGAGGAGTTTTATCACTGTAAGTTCTTCTTCAAGATTGCCAATTTTCGATACGTATTCATTCTCAATTCTCTCCACGTCTTCCTTGGGATCTAATTTTAGTTTCACCATTTCATCACAGAGTTCGAACTTTGTTAGATTCCAAGTCAGCTTCTTCTATGGCCTGATCTCGCTCTCTTTGGATGGTATTGTATGTAGAGAAGCTGTCAATTTATTCGCTAAAGATACGTGGAGGCGCTGAATCTCTGCCAGCATTTGGTCAACAAGCTGTTCAGTATCGAGTCTCGCTTGTTCGTGGTCTTTGGCGGGCTGATTTAATTGGTCGTGGAGTTGGATGATGGTTTGGGTTGTTGACTATTTAGTCCGTCTAGTTTGGCACTTGAACGCTGCAGTCGTTCAGTCCATCTTTGCTGTCGTTTGCCTTGCCTTTGCTGTCGTCAGTTTTTTCTTTGCAGATTTGCGTTTGTATCCTGAGATACAGCAATCCTTCTGCGAACAATATTATCATAATTTTATCTCCAATCAAACTAATACCGAGGCTTTTGTGTTGGCTCTGGGATTGGAGTCTCTGGTATCGAAATTTCCAAACCATCAAATGCTTGGAATGATGGAAGTGGCGGTGTTTTTGGCCATCCATCCTGGTTAGAAGTCGCTATAGTAAGTCGTGAAATAGTTCATCGGAGATTGGTCTCTTCGGCTAATATATAAAAGTACTCCACGGCAAGTATCTAGGACAAAATGTAATTATTTCCGAGCCGTAGGCATGGGGCAACACGAGTGAAAGGAGCGTTGCATACCTTTGTTCGCCGACACCACTTGAGAAAAGAGCTGCTTCTATCCTGTCCTATGGATAAAGGATGTTTCGTTTCGGAGAAGCCCTCCATAGGTTGGGGCAATATTTTACGAGGATACAAGGTTTCCAGCAAGGCGAAGACAGACATAGATGACTCCTATTTCTGAAGTCTCTAATGTTAATTGGGATGAAGGAAGTGTATATCAATGGCCGATATGGAGCTCTCCTAAAGAACTTCTGCGCTGATAACAATGAGAAGGCATGATGTCAACTGCATACATTATAAACTTCAAGCTTCTAGTCCGCATTGGTTTCACAAAGCCATGGAGATATACTCGTACCACAAGCGCTAGTTTGATATGTTTTGGGAAGTGTCTACCTCATCACTGGATGCAAAGATGACCATGTACATAATTGTCAGCAATTATCATGCTGATAACATTTGTTGCCTGCTTTGCAACATAATATCATGAGTCAACACCAAAACATACAACAGAATTATAAGCCGCATAAGCAGACAAACAACCATTTGACCCAGCCAAATATGGACCACGATCAATGATAAAAACTCATCCACGGCTGTGACCATATCTTCACTTACAAGTCTTAGCCCCTTCTTCACCCCGCAATTGATACTCATGCTAACTAATTCAACAGCTCCCATTGGATATTTTGAGATTCAGGTCCTCGGAGTCGACGATCATGCCAGCATTTACCATTCCAAGTATGTACCGAATTACTTCCCGACACATCACGCCAATATTACACTAATTGTATTTAGTGTTCAACTCTCGAGCTACCCCACCACGTTTACCCCATAACCATCCTTACAAGACCAATCATTCCGAGCAGGCGAACGGGGTAATTCCGTTATTTATACGCAGACATGCTTATATAACCTTATATCCCTGTATAATGCTTTAGAATATCCCGGATATTATTATTACTTAAAGAGTTTAAAGAGAGAAATATAATAAAAGCTGAATATATATATACTATTATTAAGTCACTATACTTCTATTAAGTAATAATTCCTATTCTAATATTTAATATATAATATATACTTTTATTTATATTAATAAACGAATCTTATAACAAATAAATAATAGAATAGATAGCTCTCTTCCGTCCCCTGGCTTATACTATTTATTTATTTATTTATTCATTTTATTTATTTAATAAATTAACGTCCGGGGGTAAACGAAGTCTATCCAAGACCTCTCGAAGAATACTAAGCATGAGCTAAAGTAAGATATTAATTATATAAATATAGAAATCTATATTTATTATTTTGAGATAGTCAATTTTCTTATATTTCTAATATAAACTTTTAGTTTTAAAACTAAATGAGAGGATATTATTGCTTTATTTTGATAATAATTTATTATATATAAGTTATCAATTTCATTTTATAATTGAACATTTTCCTTCGTAATAGCAAGTTTAATATCATATTGAACACCTATACTATAAGTATATACACGAATATATCAAACTATAAAAGCAATTAATATTTTGTTATCAAGTTATAATTCCAGTAATATTTATTTATCAATTATTCAAGACTAATATCAACTTTATTTGGTCTCTAATTCCTTTTCCATCTTTTCTTT